GCATAAACAATGGGATCTAGAGGAGTTTAGGTCTAGGGACTAATTTACTGAACTACCCAAGCAACAGAGGATTATTTTATCTAATTAAGACAGAGCACACGTATTTAGAATTAAGCATTTGCATTTAACAGCAAATTCAGAATTATAAAAGCAATTAAAGCTAAAATGAGGTATGGTAATTTTCCTGCACACCACTCAGAGCTAAAGTGCATTTTAATGTTGGCATAGCACGGCTGAGCAAAAGCAGTTATGAATGCAAGCTCGTGGCTAGAAAAAAAAATCACATTTGCATCCTTACTTGAAACTTCTTGCCCTCCTCAAGACCTGGATCTGTCCACTCTTGTCTTACTCAAGCTTCCATCACAGAGATTCATCTCACGTTCCTACTCGCTAGGTTAGTTTAGTAGCAATACAGTGCAATATGCAACCTGCCTCATAATGAATTTGAATTTGCCACTGATAGCATTTTTATTGAGGTCCTTGGGTATTTTGTATATTCCCTAAATTATTTCACTTTTACTTAAATAGTCTTTTTTCCTAGAAGTGAAATATTTTTTTCTCTGTTCCTCTTATGGGAACGGTTTTCTTTATCCTAGGCTATCTTTCTAAAATCTACTGAACAAAAGTTAGATGAATATTTCTTTCTTCATGAAACAAGTGTTTCTTCAAGCCACATGCTTTGTCTTTTTTTACAATATAGTATCTTATTCATCTATAAGATTAATAGGTTATCTTGTCTGGGCTGCTTTTGTAATATTATCATATATTGTTCTTTAAGTTGCTCCATGTCCCTGGTCTCTTCATTTATACCACTATTTTCTGGTAGCACAACTTTATTTTATACTCATAAGGGAACACAGATCTCTATAGATACAAGAAACACACAGAAAACCAATTAGACATGAACAGTACAGAACAGATGTGCCACACTATGGCACATCATAGTAAAAACACTAAATACACAGAACAAAGAGAGGGTACTGAAAGCTGCTAGAGAAAACCAAGTTACATATAAAGGAAAACCCATCAGAATTACAGCTGACTTTTCAATATAAACTATGAAAGCCAGAAGAGCCTGGACCAAAGTAGTGTCAACTCTAAATGATCATGGATGCCAACCCAGAATACTTTAACCAGCAAAATTATCTATTATAATAGAAGAGGAACAAAAAAAATTTCCATGGCGTGAATAGGCTGAAAGAATTCATGTCTACCAAACCAGTCCTATGGAAAATACTGGAAGGAATACAAAGGACCAAAGATAGGAATGACTATACCCAAGAGATTACAGAAAGAACACAAAGGAAGGTATAATTACAGAAACACAAAATAGGACCAAGAATACAAACAAATTAAAATGACAGTAACCAGTTCACTTCTTTCAGTAATGACCCTAAATATCAATGGCCTCAACTCCCCTGTCAAAAGACACAGGCTAGTGGAATGGATCAAGAAAGAAAACCCATCTTCATATTGTCTTCAAAAAACTCATCTCAGCTTCAAGGGTAGATACTACCTTAGGGTGAAAGGATAGAAAAACATTATTCCAAGCAAGTGGCACTGAGAAGCAAGCAGGTATTTGCAATTCTAATATCTGAAAAAGTGTATTTCAAATTAAAACTAATCATAAGATAAAAAAGGTCACTTCATTTAAATCAAAGGAACAATTGACCAAGAAAATATTACAGTCATGAACATATATGCACCCAATTTTGTAAAAATAGCACTACATACAGGACTATAAAACACAGATTAATCCCAACTCAAGTAATAGTAGGTGACTTCAATGCCCCACCCAATTATCTCCAATAGACAGGTCAACTGGACAAAGAATAAACAGAGAGACATCTGAATTAAGTGACATCATACACCAAATGGACCTAACAGACATCTACTAAATAGTCCATCTAAGCACCAAAGAATACACTTTTTATTCGTCAACCAATGGAAGTTTCTCTAAAACTGACCACATACTGGAGCAAAAAAAGAAATCTCAACAGACACAGAAAAATTGAAATCCATGCATTCTATCAAATCATATCGCAATTCATGAAAACAGAGCTCCTTCCAAGAAGACTAGTGTGTCCCTCAACTCTCACCAGTGACACTTCCTTACACAACAGAGTGCAATGCACACAGAAGGCCACAACAGAAGGATAATTTTTAGGAGTAAGAGACTGCAGAGTGTGTGTCCCTGGATAGGACTCCTATATCAAACCTATCCCACGCACAGCTCAGGGACCACTGTGGAGGAAGGAATGGAAAGATTGTAAGAGCCAGGGTTGGCCCATGAACATAGGGAAGTAGAGGCTTTCGGGCCACTGCAAGCTTGCAAATGTGAACTTGTGGCAATGGTGTCACTGAGCATAGGGCCCATGCCAACTCAATCAGACAAGAATCCAGAGTGGAGCATTGGAAATGGGTGGTGGGTCAGCCCTAAATTGGGAACTGTTGGAGACTGATTACTACTGGGTGAGGGACAGTAGGCCTTACCAATGATCTCTAGATAGGCTGACTAGACTCCAGTGGATGAATTTGCACCAAAGGACATCTGGGTACAAATGCTCGATTGAATAGGAATTAACATGTATGGCAGAATGCATGGGGGAGGGGGGGTCTGAATTTGATTAAAAATTATTGTATGAAATGTGCAAAAGCTCAGTAAGAAATTTTTTAAAAAGGACTGAGTGATTCAACTATTTAAACAAATATTCCTTCTTGTTAATCGTCCATTCATCACCCACCATTTTACTCAAACTTTGTGAACTTATCTTACACTTTCTATTTAATTCAAATTTATTTTATGCTATTTCCAAATATGCTACAAAATAATCCCTAAAAGAATGGGGGAATGTTGCTTCATCAATCTATCTACTCTATGCTTGACTCCTACAATGGTAATTTTCCTGATGTTATTTTCTTCTGATCCTCTGAAATCATTAAAAAAAATGTGTTTTTAACATTGATACAGATCTTAAGAGTGAGGATGTCTTAATTCTTGGTCCTTTTAAAGACTTGGAAGATTAACTCTTGTAAGAATATAGTTGAATATGCATCTTGCTTTATAAATTTGAGTCTGTAGCTAATAGTGCTATTGTAAAGGTCCTTTTGTATTTTGTGTATGTTTTCTTAGGATATTTCACATTTATTTAGACAGCTTGACTTTCCCTGTAATGTAATTGTTGTCTTTCTGAGACAGTTACTATAGGCAAAAAGCTGTATCTGTCAGCTAGCAAGCTAAAATATTTAGCAAAGGGTCAGGCTCAATAAAAAAAGATAAAAATTAAAAACGTTCTTTATAATAATTATAGGCTTACAGAAAGTTGACAATAAAGGCTGTCCTGATGGCTTAGTGGGTAAAGTGTTTGTTGTTCAAGCATAAAGAACTGAGTTCAGATCCCCCGTATTCATATAAAAGATGAACAGGTCAGCACACAGCTGTCACTCCAGTACTAAGGGAAAAGGGAGGAAGCAGGTCAATTCTGGATAATTGCTGGTCAGCTAGCCTAGTCTAAATGGTAATCTCCAGGTTGAATGAGAGACTCTGCCTCAAAATTAAGGGAGTAGGGGCTGGAGAGATGGCTTAACAGTTAAGAGCACTGATTGCTCTTCCAGAGGATTGAGGTTCAGTTCCCAGCACCACATGGTGGCTAACAACCATCCATAACTCCAGTTCCAGGGGATCTACTGTCCTCCTCTGGCCTCCTTGGGAATTGCATGCATGGTGTACTTACATACTTTCAGGCAAAACATTCAAATCCATGAAATTTAAATTAAAAATGATATGGATAGCAACAAAGATTCAAATGTCAGTCCTTGAACTACACACCTCTCTCTCTCTCTCTCTCTCTCTCTCTCTCTCTCTCTCTCTCATACACACACACACACGAACAACATATCACACACACACACACACACACACACACACACACACACAAATCACTTTGTACAGACTATACAAAGCATTCAAATTTCACCAAGCATGTATTCATGTGGGAATGTGTGTGTGTCTATGTGTTTAGATCTTACCGTTTTGTATAGTTTAAGGTAATTGCCACCGTGATAAAAAGTATGTAACTGTCCCTTTATTACAAGGCTTGCTCATGCCATCCCTTCTTAGATGCATACATCTTGTGGGTTTTATGAGACTGTCCCCCATGGGTTCCAAGTATTTCTACATTTTGCCCCCAGTTGGTAACTGCTGTTTTGGGAAGTTTTAGGAGGCGTGGCATTGCTGGAGGAAGCATGTCACTTGGGCAGTTTTGGAGAGTCTTTAAGCTTTGCCAGGTTTCCAGTCACTCTCTGCTTCCTGTGCCTGCTTGAAGATGTGACGCCTCAGCTTTCTGTTCTGGCCACCTCTGTGCCCATGCCTCTCCTGCCATTATGGGCTCTAACCCTCTGGAATCATAAGCTCAAATAAACTCTTCCTTCTTAAGTTGCCTTGATCATGATGTATTATCACAGCAACAGAAGTAACCAATAAACCCCTGTTCCCCTGCATCCTGGTCTCCAGTCCTTGGCAGCCAGGAGTCGGTTCCCTACCTCCATGACTTTGATATTTAAAAAATATATGAGCCGGGAGTGGTGGTGCATGCCTTTAATCCCAGCACTCAGGAGGCAGAGGCAGGCGGATTTCTGTGAGTTCAAGGCCAGCCTGGTCTACACAGGGAGTTCCAGGACAGCTGGAGTTAC